ATGATGAATTTTGATTTATCGGTGTAGACACCTCTACCAGATTCGAACACAAAGTGACCTGTGTTGATGTTAGTTTACGAAATTTGAATTGGTGCTGTTTGAAGGTGACTTTTAGGCTTGAATATTAAGTGGGACAAGTGAAGATAGATCATAAAAGGGTACCATGGATAGGCTGTAGTGCGCCCCAGATGATAGCGAACCGCTTAGGACCATAAATTAGGAAGAGCCTTTCAGATTACTTTTAGCTTCTTATGGAATTTGATTTACAATATATATATATATATATATCACCTCCTCATGGACAAATATGATACCGGAACAACGGCAAATACCGTTCACAAGACAAGTCGTAAATGCGAAAGATGATAGATTGGATCACTGAGAACGTTGTGTAGTGAGCATAGTTCCATAACTGTGCTGTAGATTATTTGGGGCCCTAGGAGATTCACCTAACCACGAAAAAAATGATGCTGTGTCCACAGGGTCGAACGAATCAACAGTGCTCGTTCGTGTTCAGGGAAAACAAAGTGCGCTCATTGTGTATCAAATCAACTAAGTGACCTGGTTCAAATGTACGCAGTGACCTTGAATTTATGTATGGTTTCCTTACAGTAGTTATATAAAATATCATCAGCATGATCATTCAGTTTTTAATCTTTCCAATAATGCATTCTTATTCTTCGATTTATTTTATTCTCCTAAAAGACTGTGTCCTCAAGACAGAACGATGCAATGCCCAATCGCGGTTGCTTGACAATATGATGCGGATGGCGAATCAGTTCATTCCGACGGTCCCATTGGATTTGTAAAATTCTGTCTACAATCGTGCTCGAATTCTGTTAGTCTATGTTCTACAACTAACATCTAGGCCTTTGTTTTACCAAGAACGGCTAAACAGAGGTGGGGCGGGGAGAGGCGAGGCGAGGAGGGAGTCACAATTGGCATGTGATAGGAGGAACGCCTCTGAGAAAGCTGACTGCTATGTTTCTTAGACGATGCGGGAAATTTCGTGATCAAAATGCGTAATTTCGTCTGTATCAGACAGGATAAACAATAGGATTGGGGGTGGGGGAGCTGGAAGGCGGTGTGATTACCTACGTCAACTCCAGGTGGTATGATGGCAAGTCCGAAATATTTTTCAAGTACTCACAAAATGGCATGTCACCCCCAAATTTTCCGGCCTTCTTTTTATGGCCAGCACCCATTTATACACTGGTCCTCAATGTAGGTTTTCAGACATTGATACATGTTATGACAATTTACTACCGGTTATTATCTCATCTCTTGCTGATAGCTTGCACCTAACAGCTGGTAACTTTAACCAGCCCCCCCCCTGCACATTTTATTCTGTCTAAACTTCAGTGAACTTATTATGGAACCGACCAGAAAAAAACTCTCATCTAGATCGTATAATCGCAAATCACGCTGACACGTTTTCTACCAAACATTTATACCAGTTAGGTACCAGTGATCACAACCTGATCCTGGTCAGATCTAAGATTTACTCACACCCAGGACATTTTTCTTTATTTCGACCCAAACACATCATGTTCCGTCAGCGAGATCTTTCCCCGGACAATATTACTTTGCTGAGAGTCTTAAAGTAGTTACCGATTGTTTTCTCTTAAACATCAACTGGTTGTCCAATATGATTGATATTTCTAACAGATGTGTTAAACCGTATTTTCGTCATGTGCTGTGTCCTGTGATAACCTTGTTCTTTCAAAAGGGAGGATTACAAACACCTTTTCAGAAACGTCTTCTTCGTGAAAAGGAACACGCATTTAGGCGTGTCAGGTGGGCTGAAATGCATCGATCATCTCTGCTGATCAAGATTAAAATAAGACGGTGGGATTTTCTTTATGGAAGTCAGTTTTTTGGGACAAAAAACTGTAAATCTATGTGGCGTGGAATCAAAATACTCTGAAGGCAGAGGAAAATAATTGCCAGGTCTTCCATTGATGATGAAGAACTGAATGCCGAATTTATTCATTCTTTGCCCGACACACGCCCCAGTTATATTGGTCCAAGTTCTCCGAATATCCCATTTTCGTTGAAACCCATTAATTCTAATACAATGTATAAACTCGTGCCTTCTCTCAAGGTGTCGATCGCACCTGGTCCGGACAACTTAAGTCTTATATTTCTTAAACACAGTGCTGTGCTCGCTCACAATTTTGCGCACATAGCAGCTATTCTTTCACTCGAACTATGACGAACTATTCCGGATTACTGTCACCAAGTGAGAATTACACTACCATTTCCAAAGGTATGACAAAGACCTCGACAGTGAAGCGCTTCAGATCAATTGCTCTCAATTTCACTGGTTTAAAATTGATGAAGCGATCAGTTCACCACCGTCTTCAGTTATCTCAATGACGATTTGTAAGTTTGCATACAAAACAATCACTCGACACTAGATACCGTTTATTCTCTAGTTTACTTCATCTGCTAGTCTCTAAACAAGAAAGCCAAATATATGCATTGGTTATAGTTTCCATTTTGACTCGATGTCACGTTCGGTTTTACCGAACAGGCTCCGATTGTGTGGTTATTCCACTTCTCTTCTTGAATGGTCTAGTGATTACTTTTCGCAAAGATATAAATATGTGAAATTTGTTAGAAATTAATGAATCGCGTCACTCAATATTTCGGGTGTACTTCAAGATGTTGTCTTCTCATTCTATCTGTTTGAGACGTGTATCAGTGACTTACCTATTACCCCCCTGTACGATATTTTTTGTATACTGATAAAATCGCCATCTCTATTTCTGTAGTTAATCAATCAGAACTGGCTGCATATAACGTAAACTTATCCCACTTTATCCGGCCCTGATCTCAATCCCGAGAATACCTTGAATAAAATTTCACTTTAAACCGTTCCCAATGTACCGATTTCAGGGAAAGCCGATGAGCAGGGGCAATCATGTGAAGAGTACTTAGGTGTCACACTTGAAAGTAACCTTCGCTGGTCTTTACATGCCCAAACTGTTGCTTACAAACTGAAAACTATCTCCTTTCAAAAAAAGAAGACTGTACCATTTCTGTTCCGATTTGTTGGTTATATGCGCTTTTGTTGAACAATGTGTACCCTTTGTACCCATTTACCGGTACCCTGTGATTTTTCCTGGTTTGCTGAAGGCCAATTTCAGGCTGCTGAGACCAGAGGCCTCTCAATGATCAGTCGCGTTTCCCAAGTTCCGGAATATGTTATGATTGACAACATCTGTATTACTCATATTGATTCCTGCTTGAAGTCTCCTGACAATATTTTATCGGATAGTACTCATCCTTTACACATTGAAGTGTGTGCATAAAAATCTCACCCCTCCATTCATTCCAAATACGGACTCATCCCATTTCGGATATTTGTCTACAGAAGCACCTTGATAACATATCTTGCGTTGATACTGACCGACACAGAAAATGTTCGTTCCGAGCTTTCTAATGCATTTAGTGATAATACATATTGTTTTACGCATGATATCCAACTCCCTTCCCTCCCCCCCGGTTTTGTTCAGTATTGTGACGGTGATCTTTGTCCACTGAAAGCTTGTACATAACCCGCTAAAGCTTTAATGCAGTACATTTCTGATTTTCGGTTGTCTTTATTTACCAACACTTGGACACGATTCCAACAAACCTAGACACACCGCGATAAACGATTCTCTCTAGATGAATGCTGAACTAGGTTGAGGTTTAGTGAAGCCTGGCAAGACGAGATGCACACGACAGAATCAAAGAGAACTATCCGATGATTGTGGGTGAGGGCAAGATCGACTATCCTGGTTCAACAGTTTTGAATGATCTCTGTCCGGCTAACAGAAATGTGTGAATTCATGAACTGCATCCCCTTGTATGTGCTCCCAGGAACGGACACATGGGCAATGATGCACCAGAACACGGCTGTCTTCATTCGTTGCGTTTGGTTCAATTCGGGCTGAAGATACGGTCTAGAATATTGTTGATTGGACATGGTACTTGCCCAATTAGGATCGGGGAGAGAATAACCGCGGTGCACAGAGTGTCTCGAATCTCAGCTGATCGTATATCATTTAATTGGTGAAATTATCAGCGCATTACCGGATCATTTTGAATGAGCAACTGAGGCTGTGCACATAGGGAGGGAGGGGTTCGATGCTACCAACCGCAAACAATACCACTTCTAACCGTAATTACTGCCATGTTCCGACATATCACCGAGGCATATCGTCAAATCCCTGCAACTTTTCTGCATTTATTCCGTGAGACCGATGCCTCCGGAGAACTTACCAGATCTGAACTTCGAATAAAGATAGTATTAATTGTCAAATATGAATTGATCGAGCGAGATTGAAGAGGTGGCCTGTCGATTTGACTGAGTCCCGTGATAAACTATGTAATACATACAAATGACTCAACAAATTCACTTCAATCTGCCCTCAACAATTGTCGATCTGATAACCGAACCAGACCACTACAACTACTGTAGTTCTGAATTTCAGCAAAAAAAAGAATGATAGTGTGGCTAAAATCTCGAGTGGTATTTTGTTACTTCCCAATCACCAGAATAGAGAAGAACACAACATCAACGCGGAATTTTGTGCTCAATAAACTGTGTGGGAACACGGAAAAATAACGAAAATAAACGTGATATCGTGACCAATGCAAGGGTGTGGGTGTGTTAGTGTGTGCGTATATATAGTGCATAGAATTAAGAAGATAACAACCGCTATAGTAAATGTTTTGTGACATGCTCTGGTTTCCAGAGTTCTCGATAAATAAGGAACTGGAAGACAAAAATGACGCGATACACCGGAGATCTCTGAGCACTGAATTTGGCTTACCGAGAAGGTCTTGTGAAATGGTAGAGGGGAACAAATCTACAGATATCCGTCACGAATGACTAGACAAAACGTGCCTTGAAGTTGCAAATTCAAAAAGGAAAAACAGTTGAATTCGGATTATCCAAACTGCACAGTTGAGGACGTACAATGCTGTTGTTCCCCTTCGTAAAGTAATTAGGCCGAGGCGGAGACCAGGAACTCTCTTGGAACACTACCGGTCGGTCGACGTCTTGGGACAAACGGTAGTCTGGCAGCCATCGATCCAAATGTTTCCATGTTTAATTGACGTTCACGACGTGCCGCGGCTGTAGCCGAACCTCCGCCAGACAGTACACCCAGACCATTAGCCCCGTTGCCCATTGGGTGTCCATATGAACCGGACTGGTAAAGACCCCGATTTACTCCACCAAACGGGCCACGAGGTCCACTCTCTGAACGACTTATTTGGTCAAAGAAGCACTTATCTCTCACGTAATATTCTCCTCTGAAATAAAAGACAATAAATTCCTTTTTTACCGGTTGATGCCAGAAAATGTTATGAAGTGCAAGGTGATAGTGTGTGCGGTATAATTCTTGATTTTATAAACAAAACGTCTCATATTTTGCTACTGTGCAATAGATGGCAGGATCAACGTAGAAAAGTTTCGACCTGGGTGTAACATTCTTAATCATCTTCACAAATTTCCAGTCGTATATTGATGAAGCCAAACTATTCTGATGGTAAGAATGCTTTTTGTTACATGCGAGCCGAATCAACATACTCGGCAAAATACGGGTTTGCATGAGTCGTTGCTGTTTATGAGATACCCAAACAATACCGCACTTACTGAAGACCGATGACCCGGTGATTTGAGCTGCTTCTTGATTTTGTCACACAGACTGGTTTGTAGAAATGCCCTGTGCTGAATTACTCAGTTCCAGCAACTTCCACTGAATGTATCTTATGACACACCAAATGCCTTTTTTTAACTTCCTTTCCTATTTAGTGAATACACAAATGTACAGTCAACATTTAGGAAGGTGGCCGTGGCCATACAAAAGCTGCCTGGGAGGACGGGGGCGGTGGAGCGGTTCGAACCCGGGGCTCACAGGGCACAAGTCGTTGACCTAACCATTTAGATACCACCGCCCTCATGGCTTACAGAAGACCCGTCTGGCTTGACCCAATTGAAAGCAATTGTGGCACGGGTTTGACACCAGCCTTGCTCTCAGAATTCGAGCAAACCGTATCCCAGTACACGAGCATTGTTGCTGTATAAGTTTTCCACTCGACTATAGTTCGTGCTCCAGATGTTTGTAAGTTAGTTATGTTTGTCTACCAATGTCTTATCGCTTAGGCAAATCATTGTGTGAGTGATGAGCAAATGCTACGGATAGCATTGAACGCTTACCACTGTGTGCCCAGTTCGTCCACTCGTACTGTGGCTAAAGCAAAGCGCGCGTGTGGAGGCCAGTTTAAACTTTTGTGGTTACTCACACCGGAAGAATGTCCCGTTAGAAGACTTCAAATCCCGGAAAATGAGAACACATCCAAAAAATAGATTGAATTCTGTGTAAAGTCCATGGTTTTCCATGCATCAGTTTGGCTATTTTGCTGGATCTCAGTTCATTCAGATTCTGGCACAACGATTTACATAGTTCAAACGCGAAATTAAATGACAGTATCTTAGATTCAATTCAAGTTTAGCAGAAATTTCACGATCCTGGATTCACATATTTGATGCCCAATTCAATATTGTTTTCGAGGATTTGAGAATCAAAGCTATCCAGAATTGGAATGAAATTTAGAGGTAACAGCATCTGGCGAATACAGAGGAGCATCGCATTGTTTGAAACTGTTTAAGTACATCCAACAAATGGTTTGGACCTTAAATCCACGCATACTTAGGGTTTGCATCTTCTTTGGTTTTCTCCGCTAGATGACCCATGATTTTTCTTTTATTCTTTTACATTTTCATTTCTTTTTATTGAACATACAAATGTACAATTTTTAGCGAACTATTCATAGATCTATCAGGTTAGTTTGATGGTTGCTCTGTGACCGAAAAACAGTGTGCTATAGGAACCTCATGGGAAGTATACATTAA